ATTTTGATATTTTTTACTGATTATTATCCGAGATGTAACAAATTTTACAACTATCTTAAATATATCGGCTTATTTTTTACTTTCTTCTAATCTTATAGCAACCACCAAACTATCGGCCAGCTATAGATTAGATGATTGCTTGATGATATTTGGTTTATATTTTTGATTTCGACCAGTGTTATTTCGTTCATTTGTTGTTCTTGTTTTCTAGTTTGTAAATGTGTTACTAATATTTTTTTTTCTTATAGGCTTATTAGCATGTTATTGTGCTTCTTTAAAATTGTAGCATATTACTTGGAAATCCATGATGCATTATTTTGTTGTTTATTTGTTGTTCTTGTTTTGTTGTTTATTTGTTGTTCTTGTTTTCTATTTTGTTAATACTTTTGTTTTTTTTCTAGATTTATTAGTGTAGAGGTTGTACCTGTTATAAAATTTAGTCCCCAGTTTATCCACCCGTTTATAAATAACAATCTGGAATATAAACTGGATTACTTAAATTACCCGAATAAACATACAATTTCGGGTTATATGATTACTTAGAGTTTAAATACTGCACAAAAATTACCTCACTGTCGCAGCAAGCTGATTTTTTGAAGTTAAATATTATAGGATCATGATTCGGGTAAGTTTTCTACTTAGACTTTATTAATGACAACAACCAAAAGTTTAATTTTAATTTTAATAAGGGGTTATCGATTACTAATTTAATACCTTTTTTAAATGGTTATCGATACGAGATAAGAAAAATACTATATTGAACTCAATGCTTGTATTTTGATTCAAGGATTCTTTTTTCACTTATTATAAATGTTATATTTTTGACTCAGATTAGACCTTTTTATTGAGGAATCTATAATAACATAAATATCCTGTCATAACATGAATAGGAATACCAATTAGAGTCGATTTTAAGAAAATAAATGTAAGTTCATTTACTTAATCATTTTATTTAAATGCTTTATTCAATAAATTTTATATATTTAATATATATATATATTTGATAATCATATAAAATTTAATTATATAATATTAATTAAATAACTGTTTCTTTTTAAAAATAATATTTGAGAAACAGTTTCTGAACTAAGACAAGCCCATTTTGGAGTTATTTGATTTCTGGCATTGGAAAATAAGCGCTTACTTGGTACCGAGGTAGCAGGTATTGCTAAATACTTTCTCGCTAATTGACTCAAACCTGGAAAGTTTTTTGCATTTTCTTTCCACCATTCTAGAGGTGACTTGTCTTTTGGAGCAATTTTAATATCTATGTATTTGTCTAGTTCATTATCCGTCAAATTACTTTTATTGTAATTATCTTGAAAGATTGAAGCAAAATATCAGTTGGTTGATGATGTGGTAGCTGGAGAAGAAGCAGTAGATAAAGGTCTATCATTGGCAATAATATCAAGTTCTTCATAGCATAACCTGATAGTTCTTTCTCGTATATAGTTAGACCAAGGGTGCATTTTCTTAAGCCTCAGGTCCAATAATGTTGCCAAAAGACCTGCATTATTCGGATTTCCCCAATACTTCCAGAGGGAATTATAAATTTCTAACTTGACATGTAAAATTAACAATTGAATATAGGGGTCCTTGGTAACTGAGTACTGGTATCATCACTTTCGCTTTCACTATTATCATCATCACTTTCACTATAATTACTTGTGTCAGACTCTAGAAAAAAAAAATTAAACTGTTGGTTAATATATACATTACGTACGTACGTATAGTACAAGAAATCCAAAAACCTCAATAACTTTATATAAAATAAAAATCAACTAGCGCATTAACGGCGTATTTTAGGTTTCAACAATATAAGTTGATAATTTAATAAATTATTTTCAATGTGCTACCGGTTTATGCGTTATCTCTATATAGAGAGATTGAGGTTTTTAAATTTCTTGCTCTGTACATACATGTATAATAATAACTAATTTAGCACTTTCATTTTTGATTACATAATATCAATATATGAACTTAAATAATACTGCATTCATCAATATCTGGTTCAATTCTAGATAAATCTGAATTAAATTCAGATTTCAAAACTT